GTGGGTGGGTGGGCGAGCCAGGCACTGGCTTTTCACTGAAGGCCCTTTGGACCTGCTAACTTCGCGCCCGGTGTGTGAGTTACCACCCAAACACGGTTGCTGTGTTTTAATTCTTAGAAGAATCGGTGCTGCTGTGCCTTCTGCACGTTTGCGCTGCTTGTTGGTGATTCAGCAAAGTACGTCCATGTTTCTGGCTCCTATAAGCCGCAGGTGAGAAGAGCCAGCTTGGCTTCCGCTGGCTACAAAGGACGGAGAAGCCGACTTCTCCGTCTGCCATACATGTCAGGGGGGCTTGAAACCCGGTCTCTGAAAATAATGCCATTGCACAGAGTATTTTTCCAGGGGCTGCCAGAAGGCCACCTCACCTGCTTGCCCCTTCCCTCCTCAGGCCCCCTTCTCAGTCCTGCACAGGTACCTCCCCAACTCCAACACCCCTAAGTATCGGGGTCCCAACGGCCATTTCTCGGGCCTGTCCCCTCCCTCGCTGCCCGCCAGCTCATCACAGCAGACACTGAAAGCTGCCGGCTCCCTGCCCGCAGCCTCACCCCTGAATCTCGGGGCACACGCCCAGCTCCTGCGCCCACTGCAGCTTGGCTGTCCCCCCCTCCCCCAGGCCTCTCAGCCCCAGCTGTCTGCCCCCTGCCTGCCCCCATCTCAGCACACGGAGCACCCCTGCGTCCACTCGCCCAGGCCAACCGGGATGTCCGCCGTGACCCACTCTGTCTTCCCTGCGCCCACCCAACAGATCCAGGCTGCAGCCACTGCTCCCCAGCCTCCAGGCTGCAGCTCTCTCAACACAGCAGCCAGAGGGTCTCCTTCCAACAGAGGCCCCACCGTGCAGCTCACAGGCCCCGTGACCCCGGCTCTCTCAGAATTAGAGCAACGTCCTGAAAAGTAGTTATTCACCCGCCAGCCTCTGACGGGAGAAGGGGGGGAGGCTGGGGGTGGGGGACACAGGGGCCGAGGGGGAGGGGCGGCGAGAAAGAGCCAGAGGGCCCCAGGGAAGGCAAAACCCTGTTTCAAAGTGCTCCATCCCACTTCTGCTGCTTCGCTAAAGGCTCAAGGAAGCACTGGAGAAAAAGAAAACCATCAGGCCTCGCATAAAACCCACTGATTTTTCCATGGAGCCCTTTCTGTTTCCGTGGGCTTGAAAAGAATGTCAGGAACGGGCGCCAGCCTTCTGCTCGGAGCCCCGCTTCCTGGTTGAGAGCCAGGACCAAGGCCAGGTTCAAACATGGCACCCGGCTCCGTCCTCACGGCAGAGCCGCCGCCGGCTGGCTGAGGGGGAGGCCGTGCCTCCCACCACCCACCGCACTCTCACCCCAGACGTTTTTTCTCGAAACGCTTCAACTCCATTTGAAGGCTATTAGGTCACTCGCTGTCTCCCTGTACAACTTCTAGCTATTTTAAAACAAAGCCTATATTTACTCCAGTGAAAATCTTTCCAGCCTAGAAACAACCCAAGCCTGAAAGTTACAGCGTCACTTCTCTTCTGGAGGGTTCCATCTGCAAGACGTGAGCTAGCTGTCGGTCCACGATGTGCAGAACACAGGACGCGTACGTGTCACCCCTCCCACCCTCAGTGGGTCAGAGCAAAACGACTAGCTCCGTTCTGGCCTCACAGACTCTGAAGTAGAATAAAGAGCAACTCTGACAGGGCGAGGCCCTCCCCTAACAGGGAGACGCTAGGAGGCCATTTCCTCCACACCACGGGGACTCGGGGCTCCAGCTTGACACACAGATGCTCAGTTAAAACTTGAACAAAACAAAACGAAACACCTCATGTTTTCTCACTGAAAATAGGTGTAATGGGTCTACAGTCAACTAGGTAGACGACGCTAAAATGTTTTCAAACTCCAAAGTTCTAGATGTTCACAAACATATTCATCTATTTTGTAAAAACTTGGATTTTTAATATAAAGTTCTTTATTGTATAATAATAAAGTGGGATTTTGAATTGTTTTGTTTCCAAAAAAAATAAGATTTATATAGACTCTGGCCACACGAGTCCTCCCTTATCAGAGACGACATGAATAACCAGTGGGAGTTTGGTTTTTTTTTTTCCTGAAGTTTGCATAATTTGCAGGATCTGTCATTTTCAAAGCAGTAATTTCCCCCCATCGGTTCTAAGAGCTGTAATGACTAAGAAAGTAACGGCCTCCCAATGAAGCCGTGTACATCCATCATGCACCGTCTGGACCCTCGGACGTCCACTCATTTATCTGTGAAGCAACTGGTCAAAATAACCCTTGACAGTACAAAGAGACAGCACCTCGGAAATGTCACCCGCTTCTCTCCCCCACCCCGTCTTCAGGCCGGTGGCTGTTATCTCTGAAAGCATGAAATGCCTTAAATGGAGCTATTCAATCAGAGTTTGTACTTCTTATCATAAATCTCATCGTGTGTTATTACATTCCTTCATCTTCCCTTAATTGAGACTGTAACTTAAAAAAAATTAATCCTCCTTTCAACTTAGCATGGATTGTAACAGCCTGTTGATCCCGCTTTTACTTCAGCAATAGTGTCACCAGGCTGCCCCCGCTCTCGGAAAGAAAAAAGGAAAATCTACTTCTTGGAGACAGTTGGAATGTGAGGCCTCCAGATCCCACGGAGAAACACAGGGGAGCCCTCAGCAGCTCTCCACGGGGGAGAGCCCCCAAAACGAGCTCCCTCCCTCTGCTACCTGGGGGGCCCTTTGGTACCGGGAGGTACCAAGGCAGACAGCCCTTTGCAAAACTTCAAAGATGGCCGTAAGTAACGTGTTGGTAGGTGATGTTCTTATCATCCACACTCAAAACTTGTCTGGAAGGCTGAAGGAGCTATAACACTGGATGAGGACCAAAGACACACTCACGGACACACTCAGACAGACACACACACACACGCACACACACATACATGCACGCACACACATACATGCACGCGCACACACACTAGAGATTTCCTTACTGCGTCTCTCCTCGCCTCTCCCTAAGCAGGTTCGCACGTGAAGGCTCTGAAGGCCCCGTGTCCTTCTTTCTCCATGCCTCTGTCTCAGAGCGTCCTGTACCATGGACACCTCCATGATTACAAGCCACTCTCACTGGTCCCTCTGATTTTGTGTTGCAGCATCTTTTTGAAACCCAGGGGACTGGGCTCCAACTCTTAGATCAAAGAGAACGTGAGTTCTTAATAGAGCATCTTGCTATTGAAAATCCATTGTGTGTGCGGGGGCTGTGGCCAGGCTGCAGACCGCCACACCCCCCCGCACCAAGGACAATCAACACCTGGTACCACATGGGTGCTCACCAGGACCTTACGGGATGGGCAGAAACAGTCAGAAAGTGAGAAGTGATCTACTCATGGTTCCAATCATGTAGTCAAGCGAGTAGAGTCTACCCTCGGGTCATTTGTTTTCTTTAATGCAAGGGCTCATGGAGGACGTGAGGGAGCTGCCTGCGCCTGAC